GGCCCGGCGTCCCACAAAGAGGGAGAAAAGGGGGGGAGGGGAGAGAGGGGGAAGGGGGTATCAGCTCTGCCCTAGGGCAGAGTTGCCGGCGACAGAGGTCAGCTTCGGGCCGAAAAAGAGGGATCCACGTTCTGTGAAGCGTTCTTGTCGGGAGGCATAACGTGCACCCAGTCACAAGAGCGGAGGACAGGCGCAGTCCCTCTGCAAGACTCGAAATGATCTCCTCGCTCCCCCCTTAGTAGCCCAAGATTAGTGTCAATGGCGACGTTTGCCCCGATGGGGCCCAATAATCTCTAATCTTTGCAATGGTTGCCTGAGGGTGATACCTGTACCATATACTGTTTTGTCCTGCATTGTTCTGCCGGTAGGGTCCTACCTACAAATATCCTCTTGCCGATCTTTCAGCTGTTTACGATAGGTTTTTTAGATCCTGCACCACTTTATATTGTCACCTCACATTCCCACATTCTGGTCTTCACTACTCGAATTACATCAATTTCTACTGCTACTACCTAGCCGTAGCTACTACTGTAGACTCCAAATCCCAGTCCCACGGGGAGGTTCTGATTCCCCGGAGTTGCTCCAGCTATATTGATATGGCCGCTTTGCACAAAACTTAGGCTAATGGCGTCGCGTCCCAGAGCAGCCCCCTTCATCTCCCACCTCCGTCGGGTCCCACTTCCATTTCCATAGGCCAGGGACGTCCCCAATTGTGACCAATGCAGAGTAGGGGCCCCAGGCCGCTTGGAGACGCGGCCAGGCCGATGAGGGTTTCCTTTTGACGTCCGCCGCTATGGAGGTTCTGAGATTCGCCAAGGTCATATTCCGCAATGCAGGGAAGAAGGCCCGTTTGTGTTGAAAAATCTTCGCTGTTCTGAGCGCCCACACTGCTCCGATGAAGGCCGCCCTAATGACTTCGATAGCGTAGGCTCTTTCATTCCGAATGTTGTGCTGGCTGAGGTAGGGGCCAATCAGCAGAGAGGTCGCCCATTCTTCAGCGGTCATGGTCAGGGTGTCGCCCCCGACCGTCTCTCGCCACCATGTCCAAAATTGATTCTGGGCCAGGCAGTCAGCCCAGAGGTGTGGAAGGTCCTCTGGTTCGACTGAGCACTAAGGGCATGAAGAATCCTTGAATGTTGAGCGGGTTGCGATCCATTGGTTGGTGGGGAGGGCGAGATGTAGATTGAGCCATAACAAGCCGGCGTGCTTCTGATTTGGCAGCAACTGCAGTTCGGTGAAGGTCTTGCCCCAAGATAATTCGTTCCACGTTGCATCAATGGTCTGCGGCAGGCAATTCYGTTTCCGCCATCGGGCCTTGGTCGCACTCTGCATTGGGATCGGGGGTGTTAGAGAGCGGTAAATAATCTTAGTTCGAGTCTCGTGGAGGCGTTGGGGCTTCCTTAGGGAGCCCTGCGGCTTCCATTCCCACATGGAAGGGTCCACCGCTAGGGACAGCGGCSTGCAGGCCGGATGGAATGACCTATAGATGGGGGTCGATGTGCGGGTCTTGTCTCGCAGGAGCACCACAGAGCGAATAGCATCCGCAGGGAGCCAGCCATCATGTTCTGGTTTCCTTTGTAGCGGTGCGATGATAAGTCTGTTAGTGGGCGATGCCAGGCCTTCGGGCTGCCAGGCTTCTGCCAGAAACCATTGCGAGGCAACTTTGGCACGCAGCTGAAAAAGGAGAAGAGGCGGACTGTTATCTTGCAGGGTATTGGGCGGAAGGACCACCCATTCTCCGCGGTATCTCAGGCCCGATCTGAGCATGGCTATCCATTCCTCCGAGATGGCCTGTTGAATGCGTTTGAGTCATGTCAGTTTGTCCGTCTGTCCCCCCAGTGCCTCAGTCACCAGGTTGTCATCCTTCAAGTCCCCTTTGAATTCGTCTCATAGATCAGCGACCCATCCTATCCCAGCCGTTAACCACGCCCTACYAAAGGCTCCTTTGGTCTTCATCCAAGGGAACGGGCGACCTTCAACATCTAAGATCATGGGGTTATCAAAGGGGGGTTGCTGAAGTATCTGTTCCCTGGACGAGGGTGGGAGGAGGCGAAGAGGAAACAGTTTCCTCCAGAGTGCGAGTGTGGGTGTCCACAGTGCCCCACGCTTGAGGTTACCTAATAGCGAAGGCTGAAGAAGAGTCGTTTCCACGTCCGCAGGGTGGAGGCGCATGGCGTCTACCATAGTCAGCAAAGTCAAGATTTTCCACGGGGCGGACTCGTTCTCTAAGAGCAACCAGAGGATGGTGCGCAAGTGTAGCGCTCGGATGTGATTGGAGGGGTCCAGTATGCCAAGTCCCCCCGAGGCCCTTGGTTGGATGAGCTTGTTCCATGCCACACGGTGGATGGTTGTCGGTGCTAGAGGATCATTCTTCCATATGAATTTTATAAGATTAGTCTTATAGTTCAGTTGTGCCTGCTGGCTAGGCATCGACACCGCTTCAGCGTACCACAACATCGAAGAGGCCGCTGTATTTGCAAGGAGGGCTCGGCCAAATACCCCCGCCTGAAGTCGTTTGGCGCAATACGCCATACGGTTAACGACTTTTTGCATGATGGCCTCTATCTGAGTGCCATTCAATAGTGCATCCGACATTACAATCCCTAAGTATACTGCGCTGTTGGCCATGGGTTGTACCCGCATGTCGTTAAAAAGATCAGACGCGTTCATGTCCGGGAGCAGTGCGATCGATTTATTCCAGTTGAGCTTTGCACCCGCAAAACGCTCAAATCGCTTAATCTGAGTTGTAAGTGCCCTCACGCTAGTGGGAGTGAGGGTAGCGATTGCTCCAATATCATCTGCAAATGCTGAACTCTTTAATTGTCTGTCATGTGGGAGGGGGAGGCCTATCAGATCGCTATCTCTGTTTTCATATTCGGGCTGATATAAATTCTGGAAAGACATTTTTCCTACGGGAAGCGCTGCCGTAATTTTCTTATTTTAAAGGAGTTAGATTATATTTTGATAGGTGACAATTTTGACAATTCACTGTGTATAGAGGAGATTCTGCCAAAGGTCTACCTTTTCTTGACACTTGCTTAAGAGGTAGACTCAGACGTAGTTAATTAGGATGATTTGAGTAAGATCATGATATGGGGATTATTTTCCATGGACTTATAGATCTATTTTGGGGATCGGCCTACCTTGTGTTACAGGTCCTCTTGATCGATTGATTCAAAATCTGGACTAGATTCATCTTGATCCTATAAGGATCACCTTCTGTTATCACTGATAACAGGTCAGTTGCCGATTCGTCGGTTTACGATTCAACTCCAATCCACTCTTGCCACTTAACCTAAAGGCTTTAGCCCTGTGGTTTAATCTGTTTCATTGTGTTTTTACCCGGACTTTATTGAATGGCCATTTAACAAAAGTACTGAGTATTTATTTTGGGGAGTTGCACAAGAGTGAGGTTTGTATGGCTAAAAGCAAGGGGTGTGAGTGCAGAGAATGGTTGAAGTTGACCCCGTGTAGTGCAAGGTCCTTGGTTGAATCTTTGATGTGATTGCAGGTATGTTTGACGATTTCGACTTTGGATTTGATTGTCTGCGCTCAACTACATACATATATGGCTGAGAGGAGTCCCACTGTGACTGTAAGAAGTGATCGTCCTATATTAAAAACCCTCTCTATATATGTGTATATATATGTCTTGAGTGTTTTCGCGCGGCCTATTGAACCCGTGCGCAAGGGTTGAACAGTTTGTGTTTTTGAGAGGAGTGAGACTTCCCCTTATCCTTTGCTTTTTAGAGATCTTAAAGTTGGACGTTGTAGTCCGTGGCAGCCGTCAAAGTCAAACCCTTTGACTTCTCTCCAGGCCCTAGATGATGGAGCTGGTCTCTAGGGCGATAATAGACGATTGCCACCACAGGCATGAACCTGTGTACCACCCACTCTCCGCAGGGTGCAGAAGAGGGTGTGGTCCTCAACCGCACTTGGAGGTTTGCCGGCATCGAGAGATTAACCTTAAGGCGCGTGTCAGCCGACACTTGAGTGTCGAACGCGACCCTCGAAACTAACGAGGATCGCATGAGTATAGGTACTACGTAGTACGCCATCACTGCGACTGCTTGCGTATGAGTGCATTGCTGGTCGATATCAGTTAGCCCTGCGTTCGCGCGGTTATATACTAAGTCTCGTGCGCGACGCCTCTCCTATTTCCACGTCGGAAAGTTATGGGATGGCTAATGAAGGGACTATGAGTGTTCTCACATTGTTGGTTGTGTGCGTTGTTTTGATGTGTCCATGCGTGTGTTTTATTTTTTTGTTCGTAGAGTGGTGTGCGCGTGGTGAGTGGGATACGTCCGGGTCCACTGACATTGAGTCGCGCTTGGGATTTCAGCCTCCCCAGTGGGTCGGTTCGCGTGCGGGTCCGATAGAGGCGTGGGACCTCGCGTACCCCCTATGCTACAGCGAACGAGAAACGCCCTCGGCTGGTCCACCTCTGCGATTGCAATTGATCAGCTTTCGTACTGTGGACTAGTAGCTCGATGGGAATACTCCCACCGAAGGGAGGTGACAGCTCCCGTAAGGTGGAGGTAAGTCGTACCTCACGTAGGCCCTATCCTGCCAAAGCAGCTGACGAGGAATTAACCAATCCGATTAGTCGGCTCGACTCCGTTTGAGGTATCTTATCAATCTGCTCCCGTCATGGCGTTCCACTGCCAGGTTTTCGACCTGGGTTTCCCACGTCCCGGCCTCGGAGTTATGGGATACTTTGTTCCGTACTACAACGTAATACCCCCTCCCAGATAGTAGGTTGATAGTCCTTTCCGTTTGTCGTAGACATCTGTAGTTTTATTGTTGGGTGTCCTATTTAGTCATCGTCCCGCGTACGGGGTCATAACTTAGGATGCGAGCCCTAACCGAGACCCCTTTCAAGTACGGAGCACCTTTAGTCCCCAAACGGTAATGCTTACCACCTCGAATATCCACTCATAATGAACGCCCATCTTGGAGTCTAACACAGGAGGTTTTAGGTCTCCATCTTGACCCACAGCGGAACGGTCGATCATGCCGAATCCACGGCCCATCGCGTTGTAATATAGCGATGGTGCCCTCGTTGGTTGCACAATGATAAACAGTTCTTCCATCTTGGTACCCTGAAGGGTCCCGACTCTTGACTTAATCGACCCCAATGACTTTCCCTCTAGCTAAGCCTCTCCGGGCGGCCGACTCTTCAAGACTTAACCTTTGGTGAGCCATGGTCCCGCTGCCAGGTTGTGCCGGTCAGCGGCCCTCGCCGGGAGTTAGGTTGTACAGTTCCAGCGATGCTAAATATAGGCCCTTAGCCTGACCTCACAAAATATGTCCCTTAGACTGACTTCATTGTGGTCTGACACTTTTTTTCAAAAAACCTTTAGAACAATCAAGGGATCACATATCAACTGCCCACGGGACTACGAGGAGGGATAATGCCTTCTTCAACATTCCACCAATTTTCTCAGTAAATCCACAAGGTCGTGCCTCCCTTACTTTGATCAGAGTAGGTAAGGTCACACGTCTTTAGGGACATTGCGAATACCCTTACAAGGGTATCCGCCCTGTTTTTTTGCAAGTGACAGAAAATAGGTTTGGTTTGAAAGTTGAGTACACTGCACGAGTTACGGTTGTGTTCCGTTGACGTTGACTGAATGGTTGAGTTGAAGTAGAGAGTGTGTGGGCACGCAGTTTGAAGCGCGCGTGATGATTCTTATTTTGATGCTATAGAGTCGGCGTTTCCGCCAACAAAATTTTTTGCTTTGATTAAAACTAGGAAAAATTTTCTTTTATTGAAGTGACCATGGTACATCTGCGTTCATACGGCATGTGTCATCGGAAATGGTGTTGCCTTGGGCAGTAATTGGGGTGTGTGAGATAAAGTAGAACGCAAGCGGTGACCTCCGCGCAGTAGATGCGGGAGGTTGACGGTCGTGGATGGAGTCAGGTCCTATGAGCGGCGGGCGTCATAGGTCGGCAGTCGTGAGCTTGGTCCGTGGGCAGAGGAGTGGCCTTGGGGTATTTTGGTAGGCCCGCGTGTCGTGCGGCAACAATTTATATTGAATTTTACAATGGTCCATCTCAGCGTTGGGTACTAGCACTATTGGTAACGGCATTGGACCTTCAAAGCAACGGTACAAGGATCGAGGGCGGCGACCGGCGCCGATGGAACGTTAGAGCGGCTGAAGATGCCGAGGGGTTGAGGGCCGACGGGGCTATCCCCCTTGGTTTTGTTGTCGGCCCATTCGTGGGCCCAATCGACAGAACTGAAAGGGGCACTGACGGTCTCCCTCCCCAGAAGCGCGAGTTCTCGATGTTCACATTTTTATTTTGTGAGAGGAGACGGAAGTTCTGCCCCAGTTCCACGGTCTGGGACGCACGTCCTCGTCGCCTATCCAATCCAAGTGAAAGACATCGTCTGGTGGGGTGTTTGGTTGGGACACCACAGATGGGGGCATGCCGGCCCGGTCCCACTATCTGTTGTGCAGGTTTGAGTGTGACCATGCCCAGTTGGGGCTCGAAGGAAGGAGAAAACTGTGCTTGGGCACAACGGGGGAGGGCGGTGGCTGGAGCAACACAGACTGTGCTCAGCTGCCTTCCCCTTTCTGTTGTTTTATTTTATTATTATTATTATTATTGTTACTATTATTTTACCCTTTGGTTCTAGTTGGGACACGGCTCAGGCACTGGTTCCGGGACAGGCAAAAGTACCCAAGAGCCTAAGTTAGTGGATGCACCCATGAAGTGTTGAAATACAGACCTGAGTTCGAACTCCATTTAAAGCAGGGGAGTAGAATGCTGCAATTCGGAAACTGCATAGGCCTGAGCAGTTCATTGATGGTATCTGGAATGAGGCAGAAGAGATTGGCATGTCCTACTACGAGGGAGGTGCCTAAGCGAAGGGGAGGCCGAAGGACCCGAGCTTTTCCGATGGGCCAGTCATTAGGCATCCCCTCCGGTCCCCTCCCCCTATGAGCACTAGTTGGTAACGGGCGTGGGTCTTGTTGTGCAACATCAAGCAGCCGTGGGTAGAGTAGATAGGCAGCGGTGTCGGAGGGCACGGTGTCCCGGCCCTCCTCTGTGTACCAGGTCCCTACCTGATGTCGCCCTTTGTCTCGGTGTCGTGACCTATGTGGTGCCTACGGGCATGTTCCGGAATTAGAAATTCCCTAGTACCTGGGCTGTACCATGACGTGGACCAACCCTGTTCAATGCTTGCCTCAACAAAAGGTGCGCCACAGGGCTATCCATTGGTCCACGCAGACTCGGCGCCCTGCTGTACACCAGAGCACAACCGGTCTGTGGCCGTGGTAGTCGTCGGGCTCGCCCTGGAACGCGGAGGTGAAGGGGCAGGCGCAACTTTTCTACTACGCGCCGAGTTCCTTCTAGCCAAGTTATGGGTTAGGTGCAATCGCTGTCGAAAAGGGGGGAATAAGATGTCAGATCAAAACTCATTTTCTTATGTATGGGGAAATCTGGTGGCCTCAGGCCACTGTGATACTATAGCTCCCTTTCCGATTTTGAATTGCCGTCATTATTATTATTATTATTATTATTATTATTGTTATTATTATTAAATTTCCAATTTTCGGTTCTCCGCCTAACGATCTGTCTTTTCGTAGGAAAAGGGGCCGTCGATTCGGGTTTTCGGACCGTGACTGCGATCTTATGGTTTGAATTTTACTGACCCTTGTATATCGCCTGCGCCAGAC